ATTATTATTATTATGTCTTTGCCATTAACATTATCATTGTTTCTCTGGAAGGCGTCTTGTACAGGGACATGTTCCTTTTTGCCTAACCAGTCTCATTACGTTTTGAGTGAAATAAAATTATGAATTATGAATTATACCAGTGTCATCTATCGATAAAAACATCGATTCGATTAATTAACAGCAGCTTTTCGCACTGTGGCAGTGCCGATAGAAAACAGCAACTTTTTGGCACTGCGGCAGTGCCGATAGAAAACGGCAGCTTTTTGGCACTGCGGCAGTGCCGATAGAAAACTATGGAAAACGTGCCGATAGCCTCAGCAGTTGATGAAAGTATAGAAGGTATGAAATGGACTTATTTAAATACGTGTGCAATTGAAAGTATTTTAGCCTAGGTAGTATTATTAGGCCTAGCCCTAGCGCCTAGGTTAGGCTGGGCCTTCGACGAAGGCTTCGTTGGTTCGTAGTCTTGGCCTGTCCTGGCTAGGACAGGTAGGTGCCTAGGCTAGGCCTAGTTAGACATCCGCTTGGGCCTAACCTAGACTAGACTAGTAGTAGTAGTATCAGGCTAGGCAGGGAATTCCGAATACAGATCATTTCGGTCGCGCTTCGTTTCGGTCGCGCTTCATTTCGGTCGCGGTTTGTTTTCAACAAATATATGGAACGCCAATGGAGTTTCGAAACGCTAAATTTAATATAACTAGGCCTAATTATCATTGCAAGTTCGTCAATCGGTTTATCATACTTTTTTATTTATGGTTTCTTGTATTTCTAATAAGTAACAACAGGCTACTTAAAAGCAAATAAAATTAATACTATTATTACTAAACTATCAATTAATATTATCGGACGGTTTTTATTTTCGTTTTGTTATGAATCCTACGCTTTCTACTACATAACAAATACAGCAAATAAAATAAATACTAAAATATGATATGATGTTATATATTATTATTATTAATATTATTATTTTTATTTATTTACATTGTATCTGGAAAAACCAGCCAATTTGTCATTTAAATTACTGTAACATTAGTTTATTAACAATTATTTTTATTAGTATTAAAGTTTGTTATTGTTTTTATTTTCGTTTTATGAATCCTACGCTCTACTACATCTGTCTCTTATACACATCTTTGGCCATAGTAGCCTAAGTCAAAACTAACTCCGGCTATATAAAATGTATTATAAGATTGGAAAATATTAGTTTTATTATTGTAGTAGTGATACTATGTACACGTTTTAATTATTAATTATTCTTAAACGTTATTATATTTTACATTTAAATTTAATGTATCATTTAATTGTGAATTACTATTCCATGTTAAAATAATCTTTATCTATTAAAATTGTATATTACTGTATTAGGCATAGCCGAGTTTTAGCCTTGGCTAGGCCCAAACGTGTTACTTTATAATTATGTGATTGTAATAAATTATAAACAATATGAATAAAAA